GCCACCTGGGCAGAGGCCGTTGGCGAGGGGCCGCCGGGCAGAGGGAAGACCTGCACTCGGCCGCTGCCCCACGCCAGGGCAAGCGGCACGGGCCCCCCTGCCGCACCTCCGGCAGCCCCCCCTGCCCGCGGGCAGTCTGAGGGGGCTGCGGGCTGAGAAGGGGCTCAAGGCAGGGCCGTTCACCAAGTGGGGAAACTCTATAGCACTGTTGCCCCCCAGAGCACCCCAAGACTGCACCCCCCTTCCCGGCCCTCGTCCGCTCCCTTCTGCCGTCCAGGCCCTTCCTGAGGTGGCAGCCGGCCCCAGGTGTGGCTTCCCGGAAGCTGGGGGGGCTGGTGGGAGCTGGGGAGGCGGTACCCAGCTCCCACCAGCCGTATTCCTGACACCCAGCAACCCTGGCCTTGGGTCCTGACACACTGGGCACCCAACCTGCACATGAGCCCCGACGGAACCAGGCCCACTCAGGGGCTGCTCCCGGGCGCCCGGTGGCATGACGGGTAAAGCGCAGCACGGGGGGCTGCCCATGGCCCCTGGGCGAGTTCAGACCCCGCTGGGGAGGGACCCAGGGCTCAGCAGACCCCTCCCGTCTCCCCGCTGCCCCCTCAGCAGTGGGTTTCAGTCCATCTATCTGCTCTGCTCCCCACTCTGTCTTTGGGGGTCCTCTCACACCCCTGCACCCCAGTTCTTGTGTGCCTAAATAAATAAATCTTTGAAAAGAAAAAGATGAGGTCTCCTGACCGGGGGCTCTGACTTCAGTGCCAGGGACCTTTGGGCAGAGGCCCAAACTGCAAGAGGTGGGGAGGATGCGCCCCTAGAGAATGTGGGGTACGGGGCGCACAGCCCTCGAGACCATGATTCTGGACCTCTGGCCTCCAGGCTGCGGGAGGATCTGCTTCTGCCGTCGAAGCCCCCTGGCCTGCGCCTCTAGCTGGGGCCGCTGGGGGACCCTAGCTCCCTGCACCAGGCTTGGGTCCAGGACGGCCATTGCGGGGGGATGTCCCCCGGGGCAGCAGGGCGGGTCTCTGGGGAGAAGCCCCCGCGGCAGTGGGACTGGAAGCAGACCTGGGCCCACAGAGAGGAGCCCCCGGAGCTCGCTGCCCAGAAGCGGGGTGCAGGCGGGGGCAGCAGCGGTGGCCAGGTCCGGGTTTGACCACACACCTGGGCAGGAGGGTCCAGGTGGGAATGGACGGCAGGCCCAGGGCAGAGGGCCCGGGGGGTCCTGCTGGGGTGCGCTGGGGGCTTGCAGGCCTGGGCCCCTCCACAGAGCCCGGCCGCCCTCTGCTTTCCCTGCCAACTTGGATGTCCTCTGTCCCACTTGTTTTTACAGATTTGTTTATTTTTGTAAAGATTTCTTTATTTATGCATACAAGAGCTGGGGTGCAGGCCAGAGGTGCAGGGGGTGAGAGGGCTCCCCAGAGACAGAGCAGGGAGCAGGGCAGGCAGATGGATGAAGGACACTGCTGGGGGCAGCGGAGACAGGAGGGTCTGCTGTGCCCTGGGTCCCTCCCTGGCCGGGGACCGAACCCGCGCTGCGGCGGCTGGCGTGGCTCTGCATGCTGCGCCTGAGCCCTCGTGGGGAGAGGCCCCTCTTGAGGACATTTAGGATGTTAGTTAGGACCCACGAGCAGCCACCTGCGGTCAGCAGCCACCTGCGGTCAGCAGCCACCTGCGGTCAGCAGCCTGCGGACGAAGTGGCCACACCGCTGCGGAAGTCCTTCGCGTGGCAAAGCAGGGAGTCGCGGCCGCCCCAGCGCCGCCCCACGGCGGAGATACGGGGCCCGGGGACACCGGGACCATCAATCTCTGGGGACAACAGCGACAGCGGGCAGCAGTGGCTGTCTGGGCCCAGCGTCCAGGCTGCCCCTCGCCCAGTCAGGCGGGCGCGCCTCAAGTCCGGCCGGGATCAGCAGCGGCCTCCGCCCCTCCCCTTCCCGACTGTGGCTCCCCAGTGCCTGCCTCCTCGCACCCTAACCG